AAAAAAAAAAAAAAAAAAAAAAAAAGAATTGTGAATTACTCCGAAAATCGGATGAATTATTATTATTATTATTATTATTATTACCTGCCAATGGTTTCCGTTAAAAATCTTATATGGTGAGATGAAGTTGAAACCTTCCCTTTTGGATGGCTTCCCATATACACAATATATGTCTGCCAAATAAAATAAATACAAATTTAGAAATAAATAATAAATAAAATAAATAAAAATTTAGAAATAAATAAAATAAAATATTTTTTAGAGAGAGAATTACTTTTTGAGGGTCTTCTTGTGAAAATGAGCTGAAAAAGAGGAGAGAGAAGCAGAAACTGAGGAATAAAAGGGTTGTTGAGAGAGAAGCCATTGAATGGAAAGGGAGAGGTTTGGATGTGAGCTCATGAATTACTTGGAATCTATTTATACAAATCATAAGATTATAAAATTATTTTAAAATGTCCACGTGTTCAATTATATATTTTAAAATATTAATTTAGCAATTTATTTTATTTTATTTTTAAAAATCTGTCGCACTCAAACGACACTACTTTGGTTACCTCAATCCAGCTTAATTATTGTGTGTCCGCTTTCGTAAAGCACTTTCCTTAATGGTTTAAAATACATAAAAAGCACTTTTAAGAACATTTAGTTTTTTTTTTATATAATAAAATAGTGATTTTACTAAAATTACGTTCAAATCCACAGGGTGCGCGAGCCTAACTGGTGGGCCCACGCTCGTACGTAGGAGTTGTGTGTACAGAAATACTACACATCCAATTTGTACAAATTTGAAGTCATCTAAGAAACTATAATTTTAAACAATAGGTTTCATTCATGTTGCATGTGTTTGTATTTCTTGTTCTCAACCGTGAGGTCACTTCCTAAATATTTTTTTTCCTGTACTCAAGTCATGCGCTATTATTATATAACCTGCCTAGGGTGTTGCATAAAAAAAAAGTAGTTACGTTGATAGTTTATTAAAAAATATAGTCGTAAATAGACATTTTTAAGAAAAAAAGAACGTAGTATTTAATATTTTTAAGAGATTTATAATTTAACAAAATTCTTGATATAACTATTTTGTATGGTCAAATTACTCATAACTCCTTTATCGACTTGGTCAAATCTGAAGGCGCCGCCTTCCTTTTAAAAACGCGGGATGCCGGGCTGCAATGTCTTTTCACGCGTCTGGATTATATATATATGTGTATATATTAATTTCTTCACGATGGCTGCAAATTATAATAATATTAAAAATTGAGAAAGTATATTTAATTTCATTTATTATCGTAAATTAATTCATAATATCTTAATTATAGTTACTAAAAGAAAAAAAAAAGCATCAGTTTTATTTTGTAATTAATATATATAAATTAAGATTTGAGGAATAAATTATTAAAAAGACCATTGCAAATCAAAATAAATATATGTATATATAATTATGAATGATAATTTATATATTAACTTAATATAATTAAATTTGAGAGTTTTTAACAATTTGTTGAATTTTATTTTATGAATTCAGATGACATTAGTTTAAAACAAGTTAATTCATTTTGTTTTTATTTTATTTTTATAAAATATATGACATGAAATTTAATTCTGATTTTGATTTGAAATATTTAAATAATAAATTAGTTTTATATACGATTAAAACATGTCTAAATACTCTATTAATTACTTACAAGAAATCTTAAACTAATCTGCTGCGATGGCGGGAAGCAACGATCTAAGGAAACGCCATTGAAACGCCGAAGAAGGGTGAGGAAGCGAGATTTGGTAGACTGGCGTGATGAACAAAAATCAGTAATGTCTTCTCAACAGTCATGCCTCAAATGCGCTTCAAGGCCTTGTGCAGTGGATGAGCATCAATGGAGCACGTCGAGGCCTTGTTTTAGGTTTTGCATTTTCTTATTCGAATTTTCTTGTCTCTTATTTCGTTCTGATCGTCATGTTTTGTTTTTCGGAACATGAGTTTGAGAACTTCATTTGATTTCCTTCCGATTGTCGAGTTTTTGCATATGAATTTGAAGGATCTATTTCTTTTTCAGTATGCAATCGGTTCGATCTCGGAGCCGATGATTTATGGACGCTTGTACTGCGGGTGTTTCTATTCGAAAGGAAACGCTGAAGAACAGAGAGAGGAACCGGCAATGTTTCTCTGGAGCCAATCCCCAAAGGAGCTTCGAGGCCTTGTAGAATGGATGACTGTCGATGAAGCCGGTCGAGTTCTTGTTTTAGGTTTTGCATTTCTTATTCAAATTTTCGCATCTCTCATTTCGTTTCGATCATCGTATCGAGGCACAAGACCTTGAGAATTTCTTTGTTTTTGATAATTTACCGCATTCGTTCTCAGGACCAGTAGCGTATGGATACTCGGACTGCTGTTGTTCCTATGTCAAAGCACTTCCGTCTTTGAATTTAGCAGGTTTATCTCGTCCACGAAATATGCCCCGTCTGATTCCTTTCTAATCGTTTCTCATATCTCATCATTGTTCGATTCGTTTCTTTTTTGAACTTTTGATGTTTGATTGCAGACTCAAAAACATTGAAAGAATAGAAGACATAGGAATTGTTTGAAAATTTGAAGGCTAACGAATCAATTGGATGGGCTGCTGATGTCAAAGATCCACGCGAGCTCTCGCATCCAAAACGCTAAATAAGTCGGTAGTTCAGAAATTCTTTAATTTTGCCTTCATACACATCCATTTTACTTTTAGAATTTTGACTATGTAGAAGATGGATCGTAGGCCGAATCTTTTCTCTTGAAGAATATTGGTATTAGATCACTCCGAGTTTAAGCTTACACGTTAGGGGAAGTTTACATTTCTTAAATACATTCTTAACATTCATTCCCTCGTGCATTGGTTCAAATATTACACAAAATAGAGAGGAAATAAACATGTTAGGAATTCATTGTTACACATATTAAATCACCAAAAGTATGAGCTTATATGCTAGGATACATAATACTGCCCCCAGCCTCTCTGTTCTTGTTAATATATGTACATCAAAGGGTGACTATGGCTTGAAGCTCTATAGTTTTTCTCCTGTCAAGTCCACGAATTAAGATACTAATTTAATGCATCATATCAAAATTCCCTTTCGAACTCTTTGTTTCTAAAGCTTTTGTCTTCATCAATCAATCAATTGAAGTAGGATAAACCAAAATGATCATGACAGAATCTCTTTTGGCTATTATCCACTTTGAATATCTAGCAAATGTAGAATTTTGTTGCATTTCCAATCAGAAATCATGTAATTGACGCAATTAAAAGGCTACTGTCTCTGTACAATACAACAGTTATCAAACAAAAAAAAGAGTTTATGAGGTTCTGTCTCTGTATATACAATCATTTGCAAGCCACTTATTATGCACTTTTCTTGATCTTAGCAGGAAAGAAAGATCCAACAAGAAAGCTGAAGCACACACCTCAATCAACAGATTTAACAATGTTCTTGTATGGAAGCAGCCTTGATATCAGAAAACTAAATGGAGATGAACAATGGCAGCCAAAACTGAAGCTACCAGAAGCCCCATGTTGTTTTCATAGTGATTTCCTGCATTGCGCGTTCGACCTTGGCGATGATGTGCTTGTGCCGAACCAGCGGCATAAACAGGGATTACGGCCGCACCTCCGCCTCCTGCTTGAGGTCTACCGCCACCACCATTTTCTCCGCCGCCGGCGGCACTTCCATGACCAATCCCTTGAGAAACGGTGATTGCCCTTGCACTGTATATGCTGCTAATCCGGTTAGTGACACCATCCTTGCCATGTTTTTCTGCATTAGTTTTCTGGTGGTAATTTGACTCTGCATACATATAGAAACTGGTTTAGGAATGGGGGTATAATGAATTTCATTTCTTAAAGCTTAACAAATGTGACCCTTTATTTCTTCGTAGGAATTTAGTGGTAAGTTTTCTTTTGGTGACCCTTTATTTCTTCGTGGGAAGTGTGTAGGAATATTCTATTCATGGCATGCACAAGTGAGGCACCAAAAATTCCCACTTTATAAGTTTCTAATCTTGTATTTGATTTAAATCCCATTTTAATTTTAAACTACGTGAAATGAATTTAGTGGTAATTTTAAGCTTAATTATCTGATATTTCACATAAAATAAACATTTTGAAGGTAAAAATCATCATTAGTGAAATGAATTTTGAGACATATTTTTTTAAAAAATAGACTCTTTAACTCTCTTTTCGAACTCCTTTTTAATCCTTCTCTGACCAAGTTGGAGGTTTTTAATATAAGTGGATATAATCTCTAATTAAATACAATAAAAAGTAGGAATGGGGAAGAGCTTATTTCACTAGATTTTGAACTTTAAAAAAAACTTAAAATTTTTGCAACCAAACATATATATATAAATATATATAAGCATCATATATATCATAAAATAAATGAAACCTTGATCATTTGATCCCTTTGTTTCTATTTAATATTACCATTTAATTAAAATAATAAATTAGAAATTATGAATATCTTACTAGTTGGATTAGTTTATTATTTGATCACTTTAGTCACTAGCAGCATCTAGCCTTTGATTTGATTTGAAATATTAACTCCCAAAAGTTAAAGTTAGTGGAAAAGTCATACATTGTTATGGCCCTCCATTTAAACTTTATTTTATTTATATATTTATTTTCATTTGACATTATAAAAGACATAATAACTTGCACTCCTCACTCGTCTATATTCTTCTATTTACCTTTTATTCTTTCCTTTTCCACATTACTATTCTCAACACATCTGCAATTGTGCACATTTGTCGTTTATTCACACAGTTTGTGGAATGCACACTTTATTTTATTGTCGGTCTCATTATTCAACTTTGTCGTATATACTTTACACTTTGTTGCTGTTTAGTGTTAAAAACATGGATAGAATTTAAGTTATCCTAACTTAAACTCAACTAAGCTTAACTTTAGGAATGATTTAACCTTTAACCTATCTTACTATTTTAAATTTACCCAATTTAATCTAAACTAAGCTTAACCTTAGGAACCATTTAACCTTTAACTATCTTAGTATTTTACATTTACCTTTTCCTCTCATAGTTGTTCTGATAGCTTCCTTTACACCTCTAGAGAAAAGAGAATAAAGGCAAACTTATGATCTTTTTAGTTTAGGTTGTCACAATGTATCTGATAGGTATTACCTATTGACGGTTATTACGACAACCATATTGTGATGAACTCATTGAATAGTATTTAGAACGATACACTAAAAAATGGATTTTTATCGAAAGATTGGAAAGTACATGAACATAAAGAGAGAAGAATTGTGAAGAATTGTGTGAATTGAATTTTAGTTGAGAGATTGGAAAGGATAGTTACCTGTTGGGAGGATTTGTTGCTGGAGAGCAGATGAAATGGCTGGTATGGTAGAACAAAACAGCAAGAACATCAAGGTTAGCTCCCTTCTTCTTCCCATAGTAATAGAAACAGGTGGGTTTTGTGTGATCTAGATCCTTCTGTATGTGGCTGTTAGGAATGGTGTGATATACTTATACAAAATGGCAGGGAAGTCTTCTTTTGATCCGCTAAAGCTATCTTATCTCTTTTAAGGACACGAACACGGACACGGAACAAGAGTGGTTAGAATAAGACATCCTTTTAAAAAGAGACACGAACTCGAATCTTTTTTTGAAACTGTTGCTGAAAGAAGGCCCCTTCAAGACACGGTTTCTACTCTTCTGGTTTACTGTTGTTTGATTGTGAGTGATAACAATCAAAACTGAATAGGATCACTTTGGTTTCTGTTCTTCTTCCATGATTCTGAAACCTTTTCTCAGTTGGTGTTTTGATCTCGATCTCGATCTCGATCTCGAGTTTGAGTTTGATTTTGATTTTGATTTTGGTTTTGGTTTCTAGTTGGCTGGCGATCTTAGATCTGATTTGATTTTGGTACACCATCTGATTTGATTTGATCTTGTCTGATTTCGATGTCTTATTGGTTAATGTCTCGAAACCACTTCCAGATGTTGTTTTGTTTGCTGTTCTCAATATATGAAATTTGGGTGAAACTTGTTATGCTCAACTATTCATAATTAATTAAAATTATAAGCATGCTGTTTGTAAAATTAATTACTTAAACTATTTTGGTTAATTTGTGAGGAAGTTAGTAGCTTTTTAATTATTAAGTTTAATAGTAATTTTTATGATGGTTAGTAATAGACGATTGATCTTTTTCCGGTTAATTTCAAGTCGGATATGATTCAACAACTCAACTAATTTAGACTATTCAACTAAAACTATAAAGATTGAGTTGGGTTGATTTATTATTATTTTTTATTTCGATTTGGGTCGGGTTGAATTTGTTAAAATTAGAGTTACAACTCAAGTCAGTCCTATTCTACTTCTAAAATTATTACGAAGATTAAAAATATTTGATATTTGTAACCAATGTTAGTGACGCGTAGGTTTGAGATTTGAGGTTAATAAGGTTTTAGTTATTAGTGTAAATGTATGGTACATAAGGATGATTTTTTTCAATAATGAAAAAAAAAAAACAACTCAACCCAATTCGATTTGTGAACTCTATTTAAGTTGCTCGAGTCACAATAATCTAACTCGATTTGAGTTGGGTTGCGAACTCTATTCGAGTTGTTCAGATTACTAGCCATTTTTTGATATACACCTTTATTAATTTTATATAAAAATAACATTTTGATATAAATTAGCATATAAACAAAAACAAAAATGATAATAAATTAATGTTGAACAAATAAAATTCTAACATGTATTTAATAAAATTAGAGTTGAACAAATGTGTAGAATCCCAGAACACCAACCAAAACCAAAGAATGAGTTAATATGAACACAAAATTACATACATAATACATGAATCAAACAAATTAGACACCGTCCCATTGCCCCCATTGTGCTTCTTTTATCGAACACATTATTCATGATTTTGAGTATACATGTGTTCATAATCAAATAAGCCTAAATAAATATGCAACTGATGAGGAAACTCCAGCTACTATGAACCTCATGGAGTTCTGATGCCAATTTCCTGTGCCAGAGTGAGCTCCTCCTCTCCCAACACGACCTCCTCCTTCTGATCCTCCTCCTCCGCCACCACTACCTCCTCCTGCCGATCCTCCTCCGCTGCCGCCACTACCTCCTCCTGCGGATCCTCCTCCGCCACCGCCACGACCTCCTCCTGAGGATCCTCCTCCGCCACCACGTCCTCCTCCTGGGGATCCACCTCCGCCACCACGTCCTCCTCCTGGGGATCCACCTCCGCCACCACGTCCTCCTCCGCCACCACTACCTCCTCCTGACGATCCTCCTCCACCGCCACCACGACCTCCTCCGCCGGATCCTCCTCCGCCGGATCCTCCTCCGCCACCAAGTATACTAACTATGCGCATTGGGATTACAACGCCATTTTTACCATACTTCTCCCTATGCTCACTTTCTTGAAATTCAGCAATATCTACCATAAGTAAATAAATATATAAATTTGTCAACAAAATTTGACATGAACATTACTCTTTTGAGATCCGAGGTTCGATCCCTCATCCTTTCAGTTTTTATACTGAAAAAACATACAAAATTTGTGTACGAGGAAAATAACCTGTTGTGAAAAGTTGTTTGAAAGCAAAAGAAGCCACCATAGAGGAACAAAGCAGCATCAAAATCAACGCCATCTCTGTTCTTCTTCTTCTTTCCATTTTTTTTCGTTCAATGTGTGTTAATGGAAGTAATTAATAACGCAGAGCATAATAAATAAATAAAGGAGTTGAAGAAGAAGAAGAAGAAGAAGAAGAAGAAGAAGAAGAAGAAGAAGCATTCTTGGTCTTATTTAATGTCTGTTGGCTCTTGGAGTCTTTGGAACAACAAGATTACCATGTCCTGTGCCATTCCAGCACATAAAGCCTTTGACTTTCAGCTTTCCTTCATTGA